AATAGATCTCTTAAGTACTTTAGTTATATTTACTAATAATCTTATTTATCTACTTTACTATAAAAGATATAATTAGTTAATTTAACTTAATATTTAGTATAATAGCCTTAGTAATATCCTTATAACTTTAAGTCTTTACTTTAACCTTACTATAGTACTTAGTAATATAGTTAATAATAGTATAAGTATTAATATAGAGTATAATATTAATATTTATAAGCTAGCTAATAGTAATTATTAGGCTAAACTAATTAAGTATATTATTATTATATATAGTAGTAAATATAAAGTAATAAGGGTTAAAGTCCTAAGTAATAATTAGCTTATTAATAGTTAGGTAAGAAAAGTAAAAGTAATAAGCTATCTTATTAGTATCTCTCTTCTTTCTTATATAATAGTTATTATACTTATAATGCTAGTAGTAGTTAATAACTATAAAAAGGAAGCTAAAGTATAATAGTAGTATAGTATTATATATAAAAAGATTAGCCTTATTCTAAATATTAAACTTATAGTTAGGCTTAAGGTTTATAGTAGTAATATAGCTACCTTAAGCCTTAGTAAACTAGTCTTAAGCTTACTTAGTTAATATATTAAGAGAAAGAGGGTCTTTTAGCTAGTATAGTCTATAGTTATAAGTACTTCTATAGCTTTAAAACTTATATTAGTCCTAATAGTTAATAATATTATACTTCTTAATTAAAACCTCCTTATAGAAGTACTATATATAATAAATAAATATATAAATAGTAGTATATAGGTTATTATATAGATTATCTCTTATAACTTAAATCTAATAGATAGGGTTTATAGTAGTATTAAGCTAAGCCTAAAAGTTAGAGAAGTACTTAATTAGATAGTATTAATAGTAATCTATAGGGCTAAATATTAAAAATATAATAGGATACCCTAATATATATACTATAGCCTTAAGTTAATTACGCTTTAATTACTAATATATATAGGTATTAATAAGGATATTAATAAAGTAAATAATAAAATTTAATAACTACTTTACTTTAGGGGTATTATTACTAAAAGTAGTATAAAAATTATTAATAGTTATATCTTAATAGCTAGTATACTTAGTATAATAGATACTATAGCTAATAGCCTTCCTTTATATTATAGTATTAAAGATAATAAATTAGAATTAAGGATACTAAGTAAAGTAGCTAGACTTATACTTTATTATATACTATATATATATAATATAGTTAATAGATTGCTATTAAAGCTATATAAACTCTCCCTTACTATTAGGGTAGAGACTTAGGAATATAAGTAATAATAGCGCTTAAGAGTTATTTAAGTTAATAAGGGGGGTATTATAGAATAATAATATATTAATATAATATTAAATATTAAGCTATTTAGTAATAGCTTTATTAATATTACTTTAGGCGTTAATATTATAATAAAGACGTTTAAGGTCTACCTTATCTACTATAAAGTTAAGAATAATACTACCCTTAATAGTATTATTAACTTTAGCGTCTGAATTATACTCTTTATTAAGAGCGTTAAAGAACTATTAAAGTAGCTAGCCTATAACGTTAGTATTATTAGGAAGTCTATTTAAGTTATTCTAATTAATAATAATATTAATATAGCTAGGATAATAGGCTAAAAGGTAATTAAGTTACTCCTTAATAATATACTTATAAACCTTAAACTACCTCTAAAACTAATACTAAAGATATAAGTTATTAGAGGTATTATTAAAATATAAAATAATAATATTAAGTTCTTAAGGAAGAAGGAGTAGCTAATTATATATCTTAGCTATATTATATAAGAAGTTAATAGTATAGCTCTTATATTAATACTAAACGCCTTAAACTTAAAAGATATTAATAGAAGTATAGATATAAGTAATAAGTATCTCTTTAACTTATATTAATAATATAAAGTTAGAAATATTATTAAAGTTAAGCTTATTTTTATTACTAAAGAAATAAATAGCTTTATTTTTATCCTTATTATAGTATAACTTATAGATAGATTTAGTATTTAAGCCTATATTAAACTATCTCTATTAGTAGTAAAGATAGATTTCTATATACTCTTTATTAAGCTTACTATAGAAGTTCTATAAGAGTATAATATTTTAAGAGGTAATAGTAGACTTATCTATATTACTATAGAATACTAAATTAGTAATATAGAAGCCTTAAGTTAGATTACTACCTCTACTAAGTAGGAGCTAATAATAATACTATTAATACTAAATAGAGTAAATAAGTAATAATAATAGATAAAGAGAGGTATTATAATAATTAATACTATTATTAAATAATATATTATTAATAGTATTAAAGGAGAATATAAGTAATAAGTAATATTAAAAATAGTTAATATATTTATTATAGTTATTATTACTAAAGAAGAGGATTTAACTAATATTATAATAGCCATAAATATATTACTTCTTCTTAGTTTTAAGGTTAATACTAAGGGTATTTATAATATAATAGAGATAATAATTAGGGTCTTTTAAGTAAACTATATAATATTAAGTTAATCTAAATAGTAGATAGTTATTATAATAAAACTATTTATATAGTAGCTTTAAGCTTAATACTAGACTTAAGTAAGGTTAAGAGAAGCTACTAAGTTAAGAAAAGCTATTACTAAGTTAAGATAAGCTATTAAGCTAAGAGAAGCTATTAAATATATTATTATTATTAAGTTAACTAAATAGGGAATAATCTAAAATAGTATAGCTAAATAGAGAGTAGCTAGATAAAGGGTAGCTTAATTAAAGGTAACTAGATATAGAGTAGTTTTAACTCTAATTAATATATATCTATCAAGAGGGTATAAATAATAGCTTAATACTTTATTAATACTAAGTATAATACTTTTAGTTAATACTAACTAGCTTAACTTAAGCTATAGCCTATTAAGGTATATCTTAAAAATACTAACCCTAATAGAAGAACTAGGGGCCCTATCTATAAGGAAGAATTAAGTAAGAGGGAGCTAATAGTAGTATAGCTAATTAAAATATTAAGGTTAGATCTCTATAAAGGGTATAAAATAGAGCTAGCTAAAGGTAAAAAGGGGCTAGCTAGAGGTAAGAGAACTTAATAAATAGGCTAAATATAGCTATATTATTAGCTATTTATTTTAATAGTATAAATAAAGTAATAAGTTATAATAATATAGTATACTAATAGTTATTAGTTATTAATTATATAAATAAATAAAATAAATACTTACTCTTTTTAAGTAACCTTAATAATACTCTAAGTAGTTAGTAGTTAACTTATTAGTACCCTTACCCTTATAAAGACTAATAAATTAATTAATAGATTTAGACTATTTATAGTTATAATAGATATATATAAGTAGAGGAAGATCTAGCTTATTTAATAGTAGTAAGGGCTAATCTCTATTTCTACTTAGGGGTAGTAGTAATATAGTAGTAGTAGCTATAATAGGCTAATTAATATAATAATAATAATACTAATAATAATAATATTAATTAATTAATAGTATTAGTAATAATAATAATAGCGTTATAATAAAAGATATTAATAATAATAAGGTAGTAAAGAGAAGAAGAGAGGTTAAGTTATTATTATTAATATATAGGAGAATAAGTAGTATTTATTATTAGTAAATAGGAGGTATAAATATATTAAATAGTTACTATATTAGTTAATTTTTTTTTAAGAAGTTATAACCTAAATTTTTTAAAATTAGCCCTAAATAATAACTATTAGATAATTATTACTAATCTAACTTTTTATATTAATAATAACTATTATATAATTATTTAGTTTATTTATCTTAAATTAATTTATAATTTTTATAATAGGAAATTAATAGTTACCCTCTAGAAGCCCTCTAGGGGCCCTATTAGGGGCCTACTATATAGGGCTTTTTACCTCTAATAGCTACTATATAGAGCTTTCTACTATATTTAGCCTACCTATAGTGCTTTTTTTTAGTAGCTATAACTTATTAATAATTAGTAGCTATAACTTATTAATAATAATACTATAACTACTCTCTTATAATAACTTTATAATAATAATAGTTATAATATAATATAATAATAATAATAGTAATAATTATAAATTTAGCTATATATTAATCTAATTAATTTATAAAGCCTATTTAACTGCTAACTAATCTATAAAGGGTATATATATACCCCTATATAATAATTTTAAGTCTATATATTTATAGTTTTATTATTATAGAGATAAAGCTACGCTCCTTCTATACTCTATAAGCTCTACACTCTAGGAGCTTCGCTCCACATAATGTCAAATACCTTAAACGTAGCTATTATAATAGCTTAAGGTTAAAGTGGTGCCCAGCTCTAAATGAGCTTTACGGCGGTTTACCAATACAAGTTTCACGGCTCTTTAACACAACTCTAGCACATCAGCACGTGCTGTCTCTCAATAAACAAATGCATACAAATAACAGTCGAATTGGCATCGATCAGCTCAACCTAGTCTCGAGACGATGGTTTCTCATAGCTTAAAGAATGCTTCCTTGTTTTAATATACCCCTAAGCTTTAGGCATTGTTGCCAACTTTGATGTTCTGTTTCTATTGCATCTTCCAGTCGACATCTTCTGATTGTTCTAATCCCTAATCTCAACAACACGAGTTAAAAGAGATGAACAAACACGCCGTAATTTGGATCGAGAATGAATCAAAGACATACACGTCTCGTATTCTTGAAAGAACTGCAAAGACACGAAAGTTCCCTCCCAAAATGAGACAGCTGGAGATAGTCTGGTGGAGGCAATTTCTAGCAGGCTCAACAGTCTGCTGCCTCATTGACTTGAAGCCGGTGACCCGTAGAAATTCTACGCGGTTCTGATTCGTTTCTGTGATATTGTCGGGCTCTGATTGTAGTGATCGGTTGTCTACTCATCCATCATCGAGGAAATTAGTCGATGACAATGCTGTCATAACCAGCACTCAAACAAGGCCGACCTCTTTTTACCCAATACTTCATTCGCTATTGGCGCATTACGTACTCTTCCTAGCTCTCCTCAAAGCCGCCGTGAGATGCTCGACAAAGTCGAAACAGTCGGCAAACGTATTATACAACGGCGCCGGCGCAACCCTCACAACATTGGGCTTCCGCTCATCGATCACAACCCCCACCTCCTCAAAATACCCCATCACACCCTCCAACAGCCCGTCGGCTAGCATCAGACTCAGCTGCGCGCCCCTCTCCTCCGGCGCCCGCGGCGTGATGATCCGAAACAAGCCCCTGACGTCCTCGTCTGCCCCGTCCAGCAGGTCCTCGAGGTACGCCGTGAGTCGTAACGACTTCTCCCTCAACGGCGCCACCCCGCCCGCGAGCTCGAACACTTCCAGGGAAGCGCAGAGGCTCGTGATGTCCAGCACGCTGGGGTTGCTCAGCTGGAACCCGGCGGCCCCCGGCGCCGGGCGGAACCCGTCGGTCGCCATGACGAAGCGCGAGGCCTTGTCGTTGCCCCACCACCCGCCGAGCCGGTTCACGTACCCGGGTTCCGAGGTGCCGCTGCCGCTCTCGGCCACGCGCGAGTGCCGCTCGTGGACGAAGGCGCCGCCGATGCAGCCCGGGCCGCCGTTGAGGTACTTGTAGGTGCACCAGGCGGCGGCGTCGACGTCCCAGTCGTGGAGGCGGAGGGGCGCGTTGCCGACGGCGTGCGCGAGGTCCCAGATGACGAAGACGGAGCGGGCGCGGGCGAAGGCTGTGATGGCGGGGATGTCGAGGAGCTGGCCGGTGTAGTACTGGATGCCCGGGAGGAGGAGCAGGGCCGCGTCGGCGGCGTGGGCGGCGATGACGGAGAGGATGTGTTCCGTGGTCAGGGTGCTGTCCTTTGACGGGTCCCGGGGCTCGATGCAGACCATGGACGTCTCCGGGGATAGGCCGTGGTGTCGTATCTGGGTCTCGACGACGAACTTGGGGCTCGTGTTAGTTCGACCGGATCTTGTTTGGAGGAGACGTGGGATCTTACGTGATCGCTGGGGAAGGCCTTGCTCTCCAGGATGATCTTGTGCCTGCCGTCCTTCTGCGGTCTGTAGAAGGCCGACATGAGCAGGTGAAGATTCGCCGTCAGCGTCTGCATGACGGCGACCTCAGAGGGGTCGGCGCCGACGATGGGGGCCATCATCTTGGACGCCCTCGCGTCGACGTCGAGCCATGTCGGCAGGGGCGAGTCGTCCAGCGGCTTGAAGTGACCCTGAACGCCCTGCGTTGCCCAGGTCGATAGGTACTGCTGTATCCTCTCAGCCGTCCGCTTAGGTTGCAGACCGAGGGAGTTGCCGCAGAGGTATGTGCATTTCTTCTGCTCTACGCCGTCGCCTACTTCGTCACGATGTTAGCTTGCACGAGTCTTGCGAGGTTGAGGGAGAACGAGACCGGAGCCGTCTGATTGGGGCACCAGTGGACTGAGAGATTCCACTTGCTGACCTTGAGACTTTTGAGCGAGGGTCTTGCTGGTGATCTCTTGTCTAGTCGGGATGACGAATTCGTCCCGCGTGTGCCGCAGGGCGTCCTTCTGATCCAGGGACTCTGCGTAATCTCTACCCTTGGCATCCATGTCTGGAGCGCGAGGTATATTGTGGGTTCAGTCGACTGACCGATCTTGGCTTTGGGGTTTGGAGAAAGTGACTGGTAGAAGTCACTGGTCCGCGGGGTGGTGGGGTTGTCAGTTGATTTGCGCAGAGCTGGAAGAGGCGGAATGAATGGTCCTTAGCTCGTACGAGGATCCTTGAATCGAAACGGGCCTCAATGTGAGCAACGGCAGAAGCAGCAATCGATACCTAAGTCAGTCAACCTTGGTTCGGTCGAGTTGACTTTTGGGGGGGGCAAGGAAGTGAAGTCATCATGCACCGAAAGGGAACCCCAAGAAAAGAATATTCCCGCGCCGTTCCGCCGCACCGTCCAATGAGGGGTTGCCGCTGCCGTGGGGCCCGCGGGGGAACAAGTTACAGATCCATTGCTGGGACAGCTCGGAGTTAACTCCAGCCTTGAGTGAGGTGTCGTCACTCGAGTTGCTCACCAGCAGCGACAGTGTCTAGGAAAAGGGGAAAAGACGTTGTTGTGGAGGATGGCTGAGGGTTGGAAATCCTGATGCTGACCACTGAAGAGTTGAGAATCGTCAGGTGTCCCACAGGAATATGTAAAAGTTGGAGGCGAAGGAAACACTGTGAATGTTCCAGGTCCTCTTTTTCTCCAACAAATAATTGTTGCAAGTCTCGAAATCCATCCAAGATTGAAAATGCGGGCCATTTTTACCAATGTCGCCTCTACGTCTCGGTACTTTGATCAAGTCATTCAGGTACCTCGAGTCTATACAACGGTACATGTCTCGAGTTCAATCATCATCCCCTTATTATTATTCCTTTAATTATTTCCTCAACCCGCAAAACTCGCATCGTGACAGGAAGAAAAAAACTTTTCGCCCATCAACGTCAAATAACGTGCTCGAGCTAAAAGTCTCGAATTACGACATATGGGAGTTTTCATTACCCCCTCGAAACCCCGGTATTACCCCCTCATTACCCCATAAACTGGCCACATGCGGGGAGGGCTGACTCGTCTCTTGGCCGAACAGCCTCAAGTCCGGGGCACGGGGGGGAACAAGAGCATGGAGCGTACAAATGATACGGAGGCGCGCGGCCGGTCAGGTACGAGATGGCGGGGTCGTGATGGCGGGGTTGAAGGTACCTGAAGCCATCGAATGTTACTTTCTCGATGAGACTGCAGGATGATGGAGGAATGGCTTAGGCGGGCGGGCTTCCTTCGGGGGTGGACAAGGAGTTACGGGATGGGATGGCCGGATGACGAGGAGCCCGCTCCCGTCATGTTCGGGCGTTCACGGTCTGCCGGCGAGGAGGAGATTCTGGGGGGAACGCGACCAAGGGCCACCTTCAACCCGCGACCGAACAGGCTTCCGGGGCGGCACGGTATTCTCTCGCGTCGGCCGGGCTGACCTGCAGATCCTGAAGCACCAGAGCCCGTAACGTGCCGTTTCGAGATTGCCCGCGCCTCGACATGCTTTCCTCATCACAGGTATCATCATCAACAACACGAATCACAGATCAGGCAGTCTATGCCTTGTGTTTCCCCAAACCATAACAAGTCTTGTGAACCACGTCCCCGTCACATCCGCCGGGAAGAAAAGACAATCACGTCTTGGGCGGCCGTCGTGTTTCTGCAACACCGGAGCGTAGGGCAGGGCAAGGGGGGGGAGAGGCTTTCCCGACCCGGATGATCTGCGCACTTGGTTCCTAGTTTCATGCACCTACCGGGGGTGGTGGGTGAGGGTGAGATGCTGCCCACCGGCCAAGGCGTTTCTCGACGCCGTCGTCGCAGTGGGATCGCCAAATTTGTCCGCTTGGCTGGGCGTTTCTGGTCTCTGACCACGGGTTGACGGTCTCGAGGCGTGCTAAAGAAAGAAAGAAAGAAGCGTGTTGCATCTTGGGCGCGGGGCTTGGTGTCGGAGATGTCTGCGGACCGCGTCTGTGACTTGACGTTGGGACAGTCTCGGGTGGAGACTGGCAGCAAGGTGAAGAGGCTCTGCTTGGTGGTCTTGATTATGAAATCTTTTTCCGGGGTGACGAGGTGTGGGTGCGAGGACGAGCGGGAGGGAGAGAGTTCCTGGATGAGGTGATGTGAGTTGACTTGAGAGTTGAGTTGAGGCAGTAGGAGACAGGCGCTGAGTTGAAGAGGCAGCCTCTCCGTGGGCATAAGCGTAAACGGCGTGAATGGTCTTCTGGGTTACTCGATTGGGACGAGCCATTTTCACCATTAGCATGTTTGCAATTGCCGAGTGAGAGGTTTTCTTTCAGAGACGAGTTTGCCCTGGAGAAATGAGCAATGCAACACAATACCTTTCCTCATCGGAACTGCTGCGGCAGAGTTGCGCCCGTCGAGATGCACAACAGAGGAGAGAGAGGAGGCCTCACTTAGCCGTCGTATATTGAGAAGAGGTGAAGGAAGGTAGGTAGGTATTGGGTGCGGGCTCGACGTACGTAATTCGGCGGCCGACAGTAATGCGGGTTTGTTGATGCCGCAATTCCTGCAACAGCTTTGCAACTCTCAACCAAACTCGCCGCAGGGAGGGGACACGTGTATGAAGGCGGACGGAAAAAAAAAACATCGTGAGTATTTCTCGCCCCTTGAGCTTCGAGTCACTGTTCACAAAGACGGTGTACTCCTTCCCTGGACCGGGCCCCCGTCTTGTGTCTCTCATCGTGACCCGTCAGCTGGAATGGTGCCATGGGTACGAACCTTGACGACAGGAAATTACTTTGAGGCATCGTGACCTTTCGCAGGCTCGTTTTCCCAAGCCTCCCGGCATCGACAAGAGGAGCAAGAATGGACAAGTGACGATCTGAGTTTTCTCCGGCCCCCTTGTGGCGGTGCAGGGGTTTGGTTGATTGGGCCGGCCGTTTGCTGTTTTCGTTAGTTGGGGTAAATTTAGCAGCAGAGGCAACGCGGAGGAGGCGGTGGCAGCGGCAGGTATTTCGTAGATTGATCCACAACTCAAGGTGAAAAATTCTAGAATTCGGGTGCCGGCCAAGGTCAGGTACTACGTCGATCAGGTACGGTGAAGTGGGAGCTCTGGAGGGTATCGTGAGAGTCAGAGACGCGTCTCCAGCTTCGAAACGGGACATCAAGCGGACGTTGTCTTTTCTCATTCCAGGCAATGTGTCTGTTATGCGGATCCAAGTCTGAAATATTGTTCATGGGGTAAAAAGCCACCAACGCCGCGTGCTATTGTGTCATATTAACCGTGTATTAGTGTATCGTCAGAGTTGAACGGACTTGGACCTCCGTTCCAACACCGACAACAACAACAACATCCACCGGTTCCAATTACACCTTCCACCTGGAATTAGCACGCAAGCCTGCAGTTGAGGGCGGCACCAGCATTCTCATTGATTTTTTTTTTTTTGGACGAAACAAAAGGCCTTGCCAGACCGCGTGATGAGGGGTCAGACACCGGCAGTGTTTTACAATGGCTTTTCCATTTGGTAATGGCGATGCGGGCTCGCGGGGACCTCGATGGTCGGGGCCCCGGCCGGCTGGGCCAGACTTGACTGACGATGTGGACTTGGCCAGATTCGAACAACTTGACGGACTTGTCGAAGGGAGACTTGTCGAGGAAGTTTGGATACATGCCATGGGCGTACGTACCCAAGAAGAAGTTCGCCTGGCTGGCTGGCAGCCAAGAAACCGGGGAAAATGTAAGGGAAATGCGGACTCTTCTCCAAAACTCGGGACCCAAACTCGGTGTACCCATGCTTAGGTTTGGCTGCCATCCCAGAGTGTCCCCAATAGGGCCAAGTCGGTCTGTCCCGTGGCCACCTCGAGTGCTGCACGATCAAGTAATCTGGGGGTAATGGAAACTGGCATCTGGCGCACGATTCTTCCATCAGCTTCACTTCTCGACCCCCGAAGGCCCGGCCGACGCGGCGCTTGACTTGACACGGTACACGACGCCGGTACGCAAGTTACAAGCCATGGTTTAGGCGGGGTTTCGTGGGGTCAGCCGCCGCCCCGGGCCACTCGGCGGGCAGGGCCATCCCCAACATGTGCCATCTCGTGATCCTCTGGTCTTTCTGTAATCACCGTGTTTGCGTGTTTGCTGGTCCGCCGTTGGGGTCAGAGGAATGCCCACAACCTGGGGTAAGGTGGGAAAAAGGGGTCTCGGGTTTGTGGCTGGTTGTGCGGTGCGGTTGGCTTAGGTTGTCTCGCTGGCTTGTTTTTGGGGAAACTGGGGATTCCGGCCCCAGACGTACACTAATGGAAACAACATTAGGGACGAACACGACTCTATTTCCCAGGGTTGTTGTTGCAGAGGTCGTCGTTGAGGCGGGTTGACAGGGGAGTTGCTGTCTTTTGTCGTGACTTGGAAGCAAAGACGTATATCCGTTGTACTTTGTGTGATTTGTGTGTACTTTTGCGAATACGTCTCTTTTCCAACCTCTTACAATGGATACTATCGACTCGACGCGTATCTGCCGGGGCGCCGAGACCATGGGGACGACGGGACGTTGGTTGAACGAGCGGGCGTTTTGAGCTGCAACACGAAAGAGGCGGTAAAAGGCAGCCGACACGGAGGACAAGTACTCGAGACCTCGGGACCGGGTCCGTTACGTGTCTCCAAAGACCAAAAGACTGCGCGACCCGAAGATTCTGGGAGGTCGAAGGCAAGTACAAAGGTACCGGCGCATTCAGCATTCATATTAACCAGTTGTCGGTGACAGACAAAAGCCCTGTGCGTTGTGTTCCATTGGGAAGATGAACAGGGCAACTGGACAGACTGGAAGACGAATCGAGGCGTTCCGTACAGTATTTTGTCGAATACGTACCGTCTCGTGTCGTCTGGAAAATGCAGGTTTCTGATATCGACATCGCACGGCGGCTACCTGTGCCGAGTTGTCGGAGGCGTCGATAAGGGACGATTACGAGAGGGCAGCGGGCGGATAGCCGGGTACGCACAGCACAGCAATTAATTGTGGCCACGGGACGGGTGACAGACAGAACCGCGGAGAAGCCGGCTGCCCGGACTGCGCAGTTGATACATTG